CTCTTTTTACCGACTTTAATTGAAGCCCCGTATAACTTGAGGGATCCCACTCCCTCCGTCTCGCTGTTGCTCTTTTTCTCCGGCTGGTCGCATTACTGTTCTGCCCTCGACGGAGCACTAGGACTATGAAGAAGTTTATGCTTTTATTGCGCAGGAGCACACCGAGTGTATACACCACACGCGTATCCCACTAGTGACTGGAACTTGGCCGGTGCATCGTAAAAAGACGATATCAGCCGCGTATTCCTCAAACCCCGGTGTGTATCTTCCCAGGACGATTCTTGCCGCACGAATGTAAAATGAAGGGATCTCCCTGGTGTACATTTATGTTAGGACTATCAACGTTCGTTTGTGTAAAATCATCTTTTCAAAAACAATGATGATTTTTATGTATATCGCTAACGATACGTATATACTCGCACGTCTCGTAATTCTCCTTAATTATAGTTTTTGTAGCGAATTTAAAGTCAATCCTTTCTCAATGGTAACTGATTAAAAATCATTTCTTTATTTTTTTTTACTTGTTCCCAATTTTTGTAAAAAAAAAAATAATTTCTTTTTTATCAGTTGAAAATACTTGTGTAAAGAGTAAAATTTAAATTCACAGTGGGTATACAAATTTTAGAAATTATTGTTTACGGTTTTTCCTCTCAAAAGCAGAATCCCTTCTACAACCACGAATGCTTTCAGAGTCAGCTTTGTAGGCGTTCAACATTTAACATCTGAGCGGATTGACGTCGTTTGGCGTCTTTCGAGTTTATGTACGATGGCAAAGAACTCCTGAAGACGCCACAGTAAACTACGCCGCATGCAGATTGTTAGAGCTTCCCAGGTCGCGTTTGACGCTCCTAAAGTACTCTATCGCTTCTCCTTTGATGTGGGTACCTCGGATGTTATGTCGCATGATAATATTATTATATACGTTGAGTATATATTTATCGCACGCTAGCCGTCATATATGTGAGAATATATCGTTTTATTATTGCGGATACGTGATTGGATGAGTTAATCTTTTACGAAATTTGTTATGAGGGGGGTGCTTCAAACTCATCATCGAAGAAATATAATCCGATTGCGAAACTGGATTACGAGGGCTTTTCGAATATTCACATTAATAAACTTCCTAGCTACGGTCGCGTGCTCCGCATTTTGTCCGTAATCTCGAATTACCTCCGTGTTTGCGTAGAATGGAGTTACTACATTGTTATAAAATTATTGAATATTCAAATAGCTTCCATAGCTTTCTCGAGAATAGCTATAGAAAATATTCATTCAATACATATGTTTGTTACAATAAAAGATTTCTGTATTGTTATAAAACGTTAAATATGTTTATTTTATCTTACGAATTATAATATACGAGTTAATATCATAATCCTAAGGACCATTTCTGACATCTCTCTTTTACCCTCGCTCTCACCGCTGATTTTCTTCCTCTCATTTTCAATCACAACCTCAATCCCCAATCCTTTTTCCTCCTTAATTGAGCGCTTTTCGCTCAAGTTATATAATAATTATATTTGTACATAGATGGTTTTCTGGACCAAAAAATACCGCGCGGGTTGAAGGAAGCACGAAAAGATCGCAACCCTTAGAAAAACGCCCCATAATAACTTCTATCGAGGCGGGGGTCTTTATAACGGAACAAACTCGACGACAACTCCGTCAAGCCATGAATAGGCTTAAGCATTTTCAGTCTCCTAATAAAAACGTAATCGCCATTGACTTAACATCCAAGCACACGAAAGATCTGACTCCCCATTTCCTGCTTATTCCCGAATTTTAGGTCTTTACCCCGTACTTTTGACGTTCTCCCTTAATTCAAACACTGACAAACATAACAGGCTTCAGAAGAACAACTTCCTCCTATCTTCTATTCACCGTCACAAGAGGACAAGAAAAATAGAAAGAAAACATTAATTTTTATTTTATTAAGTTAAAATTTATATACTTCTTTGTAGCATAAAAGTTTAGAAAGCAATACACATATATATAAACAAGATATATTGAAAAAATTTTTATCTAATGTAGGAAAGCAAGAAAGAGCGCAGTTGTAAAACGTTACTAGCATGCAATAAATTGAGCAACTTCTTCAAAAGTTTACTCGTAAAAAGCTCCATATATATAGATACATGTGTATGTGTACTGTAAAAAGAATATTTGTGTATTAAGATAAAGGAACTTCAAAATACACTGTAGAACAAGATTAAACCTCAAAAATAACGTTTGCTGGAATTCGATAAGTTCATTCTAGATGAGGAAGAATTTCTCGGAAAAATTCTCGCACCATTGAGATTGATCTTAATTAATTTTTAAGCCATTTTTATACGGTTTAATTTTTGTCTTTTTAGCGTTTATAGGTGTTTTAATGGTAAAGTTACATGTTCGTTTTTCGCCATAATATCAAAGGGCGTTTTATAAAAATGTTGAAAGGCGCATTCTTCCGCGTCTCTGTTATGTCAGTGTCATTCTTAACAGGACAAGGCGATTGAAAGTAAAGTCTATTCAGCCGTTTAACGTTCGAAAGAAACGTAAACTTGCCGTCTCACTTTTGGCAAAGTTCTCGAGACCCTAGATTATGGTGCACTTTCTTCGGCCTCTTCCTCCGACATCTTTGCGGAAGAGGGCAAAGTTCTCCTGCAGCTCGTAAGGCCAGCCGGGAGGACCGTACTCCTACCTGTGTTTCTTTCACGTTATAGCCCTTCCCAGCTAAACTTCCGGGCCATTAATTTACATTAGGACATTTTTCAAGAGCGTGCTAGCTCCCGGCGCCGCGCACCTTAAAATTGGCGAAGTCTTCTTTTTAACATCTCTTCTCTCTTATACGGAAGAGCTCTTGAGTTCGCTCTCCCGCACCTCCCCTTGTCGACGTCACGCTTGAATTCTTCACCATTAAACGACGATGCGAAGAAAAAGGAACGAGCGAAGCGTATATGAGATAACTTCAGAATTTCATTTAACGACGATGTGCAAGCATGCACGCGGAAGGCGTTGGCAGTCATTAAATCACGCCCGTGGCAGGTCCGTCGCCCGACTTGATTGATTTGTAAAACGGTCCGTCGATACCGGGATCGGCGTTACTCTTTAGATTCAACAGTGTTTACGTAACCGTATAAGTGCTACATATATCACTTGATAATTTTATTGCCGTCGTAGACACTCACGTCACAAATACGTTGTGTTAACGTTGAAACAAAAAATGCATCGTCCCTTGTTAAGTAATTTATTAACTCGTAAAACTCGGACTCTGACATTAGACGCGAACGCTCGCCGTCTGTTTTTTAAATTACTCCCCCTCGTCCATTGAGCCGTCTTAGACTATGAGAACTCTGTATATCATTTTTGAAATTTCATTAGCAGTTTGCGCTATTAATGCGGGATACGATAAATATATAACACAGGATACATGCTGTCATTGAAAAATTTATTCACTCGTAAAGTGCCGGCCGATAGTAACGCTCTGCTGGCAAATTCCTTATCGACAAGCGATCGATAGGAAACGCCTAAACGTAATTAATTTTATGCCCTTACTAATATTCTAATCCTTCCTGTTTATGATTATAGTAATGTAGAGCTAATCTCTGTCACAGTAATTTATGTACAATATTAAATAGAGAGAGTAATGTTTTGCATAAATGAACGAGCAGAAGGTAACAACTCTGCTTTAAAATGAAAGACTCGCGTTGTCAGGATTGCGCTGTAAAAAAAAAAAATAATAGAGAACCATCGAACGTATACCGTTTCCAAAAACTTTGATAAGAGAACCCTAGAATATCGGGCGTAACTCGTGATCGAAAAAAAAATGCTCGTAAAATGGGCCACCATGGACGTCAACGTACGAGTTTAATGCTTGTTCGCGCAAAAACGCTCAAAGTAAAGAGAAACAGAATAACTGTCGTTGACATCATGTCAACGACAAAACAAATATCCCAGGGATATTTAGCAATATTTTCAATTGTAATACTTGCATTACGTCTCGCATTACGTCCATCGTGATGATTGTTACGATTGTGCTTAAGCCTCAGCTGATTTAATTTTTGATAAATCTATATCGCGTTCAAATGTTCATAAGCGAATATCGGGAATATAAAGAGAAACTAGTCGAGGGCATCAGTTGAGTTTTCTTCAACTCAATATGAAGGTAATAATGAAATCGAACTCTTTTCTTGTTACCGTTAAAGGATGACGTACTATTCCGTTGGAAACGCACGCTTTATACTGTCGGTCTACTTCCGCCCCTTGCAGCTACATTCATTTCTCATTTCGAACACGTCGATGCTCGGAGCAGAGCTAAACTCGAAAGTAGAAGAGAGAAAATCAACTTATGAAAGCCGGTGCTCGATCTAACAAGTCCCTGTTTAAAGTTCAAGACTCCAGTTGCAAAGCGCCAATGACTACGGCGCTTTCAAATTGTATTTAAACAAAATAGTTTATAACAAGGTAAATTCGTGACGCGAATAATATATTTTAATTGCCTTTTATAACTCACGTTTTCAAATGGAATTAGTATCGCGAAAAGAATAATAAATTTTGTTACTTATTATTATTCGTAAACGTATCTAAATAAAAATTAATGTATATGATATAATTATACATTAAAACAAATAAAATAGGAGATTCGTGTGAATATTTTTAAAGAGAAATTCAAGTGAAAAATTAAGATTAACCATTTCAAGTATTTTGATCTGTGTAAAATTATTTTATTATTACATGTTACTTAAATATTAAAATTAATTTATGAAATCAAGGAAAGAAAATCTTAAAATAATGTTTTTTTTACTTAAATGATATTGGCGAAATTAGAGACAGATTACTCAACTGCGAAATGAAAAATATTTTTATTGATCCATATGTTATATTGTGTGTGTGTGTGTATATACACACATATATATATATATATGTACCCGCATTTTATTCAAGCTGTTCGAGATAACGATTCATGTGAGTGAATCTTTATATTTTTGTTTCAGCATACACTCACGGGCCACTGCGCAAAGGTGATGGCAGCAAAGTTTCTTGGCGAACCGTCGAAAGTAGTTACGGGAAGTTATGATCGGACTTTAAAAATCTGGGATCTGCGCAGCAAAGCATGTAAGTGAACGTTATGATATATTATCGATTAAGTGAACGAAAAGCTGACGTTTCTTTTGAGATATCCGTTAAGAATATAATCAAGATTACGAAATATTAATCTGTTAAGGTATTAAAATGACAAGATTAGGTGTCTTGTATAAGAAATTCCAGGTAACAAGCACTTTCTCCAAAGAGAAAGAAGAGGGAATCAAGGAATCGCAAATGTAAAGATCCGATTCCGAATTTCCACGCGAAACGGTTTAAAGCACTTTAATTAAACTAGTTTATGCAAAACAATTCTGAATCTCATCTGCGTATATTTACCGACAATCGGGGTCTACCCTGGTAATCCCGAAATGCTCCTCGGCAGCGTACAACGACGATAAATACTTTTAAGGCGGTTGAAAGAAAATTTTAAACGGCGATTGCTCGCGGCTGACATATCGGGTTGCATAATGTTAACGCGGCACATTCATTCCGTCTCGTAACAAAATCGCGCAGGAAGTATGAGCCGAAAATAATGCACGGTGCTAGCGGTAATCACGTTGCCCATTACCCCTATTAGTCGTTGCATAATGCAGATACACTTACGAGCGCTCCAAGATAATAAAACAAACGGCGAATCTGCATGATCATTCATATGCATATTCCGTTGCACGTCGTACGCGGCTGCACAATGGACCGCCACGGAAAATATGACGCCCATAATGCCCGGCCCGGTTCGTACGAAGCGCACTGGCATCAACGGCGACGCCGTAATGGCGAAGATGGGATAAAAACTCACATACCCTCCCGACTAACAGACGGTTCGTTGCGTCGTCGTGAACGCGTTAATTAAATCGATAAGATTCTTCCGAGGTAGAACAGATTCTCTTCTCACTTGTTTCGCCTTTAAAAACCTCCATCTGCATAGAAAACTTTTTATCTCGGAGTATCGAAGCTCTTAATAGATGATCCCTGATAATAAAATAGATTTTGAAACACAAAATTGCAACTCGTGATGGTAGAATAAATACGATCAGAGATAAAATGTGAAAGATCAAACGAGTAACTTTAATGATTCTTTATTCGAATGGCTTTAAAATGAAAGCACGAATTCGTACGATAATAAAGATAGATTTATATAATCTAATGAATGATCTGTTAGAAAAGAAAAGCGCGAAATTAATCACAAATCCATTATTTGCGGGGAAAGAGTATCATTTTAATTAACTCTTAAACTAGGACACAGGTTTATAACCAGGACAAGATATAAGAGATGATGCTATTATACTCAGATTACTTCATTACGTCATTAATCAGTTTCTAATTAATGTCATTCATTGTTATCTCACATACTTAAATTCAAACTAATTTGTTCTTAAACAAGACAGAAAAGACTTGTTTCAAAATTATTGGAAGTATCAATTCTCTTAGACTTTAATTGGCTCTTCAATCTGCGTTACACTATATATATATTAAAAGGCGTATATAGCAATACAAACAATATAAATTTTAAGTTGAAGAATAATAATGTGAAAATTGTAAGTAAAATTTCACATTTTGATGCATCAATATTGATTTTTCTTGTACATTACGTCTATTGTTTTCGAAGAGATCTTCTCTGCTTGACCTGTATAAGATCTGTTTGAATACAAATGAAATGGGAATTATACCCTTCAGTACGTGCATTCACGTCTACTAGTTTTCGGTTCGAATGCGTACGGTTGCCATTAGAAGCCCTTTTGTCCTAGGAAGTTCACGCGTCGTGATCTAATTTCACGCGACAGCTCTCACAGTCGAGTGTGAATAATCGCGAATGCCGGATGCGATAGTCAAGCCTTTCCTCGCGAACATTATTGTGACCTTCGACTGACAGGTGTTGGACGAGGGCTATACCTGTATCCGCATAAGGGTCTAATGGTGCGGCTTCCGAGTCATTGAAAATCGCTAGTGTAGCTAGAATAGTAACGCGATAATTCCACGCATTCAAGGGCAAATGTAATTTCTCCTTCCCAGAAAGCAGTTTCCGAGTGGAATGCGCGGACATCGTGACCGGTGCAAAACACACCTAGACTCCTCGACGTTCTCCCATCGGGGGGGATTTATCACACTAATTGTCAGAGAAAAGCAGCGGCATTTGTTCGACCATTTGCTCTCTCACGCGAACAACTTCGACGTATCGAATCGTAGTCCATTCGCCCGTAAAATAGAGAAATCTTTCACCGCTTTCGGCGACGGTACCGAGGCTCTATGCGATAAGCGCGCCGCTCCGAAGACGGGGGCGAAAGTGATAATTTACAGCCGGATGAAAGTGGCCATTCTCGAGGTAAAGCACAGATCGCGGCTCGCGTTCTCACTGTGAAATGTAGAGGATTTTAAGTAGTACGAAAAATAAATTGAGTAAGCCGCACGCAGGCAGCCGGACTCGCGCAGATAGCACCCACCGAAAGATCTCATTTCCCGCAAATGTATTCGGGATTTACATTCGACCCTGGCGCCGGACTAATCTCGTGAAACGGCGCGCTCTATCTGAAGAACGACTTGAGATATCGATTTACACTACGGTCAACAGCGCTACGGAATTCTGCGGTGTGTGCGGCCAGTAACCGAGAAATCGTATTGACAAAGGATACAAAGTTGTAGAAACTGCTTAATACGATGGCGTACAAGTAGTATTAATTTGCAAAGTCCAGAATCGCCTTAAAATTCGATCTTTAATTATTATCGTTCGCGCGGGATAATAATTTATATTATTAACCAGCGTGTACGAGCATTTGCTAAATTCAATAAATATTGAAATACATATAATAATATAATTAATGGATGAAAACTAAAACTGTACAAAAAAACACAACTAAAAATTTCATTGATTCAGCAAATCTACAGTCGTAATATTTACAATCAGTTTTTCTATGTTAAAGCATCAAAGTTGACAACTGAATAATATTAGCGATTTATTAAACTATCAAATCTTCTTACAATTAGTTACAGATGTTGAATTCACGGCATTCGCGCAGTAAGCTGTAGCTTTGCTGTACCATCCAATCTATTTTTTTCCGTGTCTTGTACTATCTCTGTAATTTGTGAAATACGCAATAAATATAAAAGTGAACAATTTTCGAGAACGAATACGGATGTAATGTTATAATTGTATATATATTTTTAAAAATTATAAAATTAAAGTTTTTTTAAATGATTGTTTTTGATGAATTAATAAAATGCTGTGCATTTTATACAATGATCTCATTTATCAACAGAAAAAAACACTAACATGCATGTGATAGTAGAAATTTTAACAACTGTTGATTTGCTTTTATTTCACACCATTGAAGTACTCCAAACAAAAACTACATTCACACAAATTAAATGGTAGATAAGTTTATATACAACTGTTTTAGACAAAAAAACAAACTGTTGGATATTATTGCCAATAGAGAAAGAGGAGAATGAAACATTGGTTGTATAAAAAAAACGACTCGTTTCTGTTTATTTACATACTTACACGTTTTTGTATACTTCTTTTTAGCTGCTACTAACACGTATACCATGTAAAAAAACAAATAGTGAATAACGTTAATGATTATGAGTATAATTATACTAACATTGAGAAAAATAATTATTCATTTGATTAAATTAATTCAGTTTTGTCTTTATTTCTTTCGTTAAGAATATATATGTATTTAAGTTAAATATAATATTTGATTTAAATACAAATTCTCTTTATTAAAAGAAATAAAGACGAACAAAATTAATTCAGTTAAACGAACAATTTTTCTCTTATTATGTTATAACGGAATTGCACATTAAATGAATTTATTATTTGAACCGATCTTGATAAACTCGTTTGAGAATTCCATGTCTTTTATATTAAGTTAATACTGCAAGCGCGTAAAGTGCGAAGTTTCCTACACAACGGCGGGCACAGCAAGAGAACTGCATTACTTCGCGATATGCAAGCCCTTATGAAAGTTGAAGAGCGTAATTTCGAAAAGTGTATCTCCTTAAATCAAGTCGCCTAAGTGATACACTACCGGAGTTTTAGTTGGCGATAATTAATGTAAGAAGTCGTGCGCCATCACAAATCGCCCGTCCCGACCGAGTTTGCGGTTGGTCATCAAACTTGTTACATAAATACAAAACTTTTTCGTTGGCGAACGCACCGTGCGCACTTGAGGCAAAGAATCCATCTTATTTTTGTATGCAACGCAGATGACAACCGGGAGAGCGCATACAATGTAATTAACCTGTGGCTTAACTTCGTCACGTAATTTATAACTGTCGTCTCGTCGGGTCATTCAGTAGTCGAGTCCGAGTTAATTGTGTGCATGTCGGGAGGGAGGGAGGGGAGAGGGAGAAGCACGCGGATACCTGCGTGGATACACACAGGTACTTCAGGGACATCCGTTTTAGCCTTGCGGCGGCCTTTTGTTGTTGTGGCGTGGTCCTACAGCAAAATAGCGAAAACCGCGCTATCAAGGAAGAGACCGGTGGTGCTTGTACAAAAGTTTCGCACAAATAAATCTCCGAACGCGAGGCGCGCACAATGGGAAAGCGGCGCTGAAAGGGCGTTTAAGCGTGAATTATTGTTTACCGCGGACGCTTTAAGACAAAAAGGACGCTTAAAGTGGATCAGCTGTTTTCTATCGCGCTATTATCTACCTTGCCACGTCGCCGCGCAATTTCGTGGACGCCCCGAGCGACTCTTCTGGACACAATCGTGCCGCAGACAGATGAATTTCACACCTCACCCGCGAAATAACACCCCGTGTCATGCGTACGCCACTGACTGAAAAGACGAGCCAAATGCTCCCTAACGTCCCGAGAAATTAATCGCCATCATTGTGTTTCTGTCGTAAATATCGCATACCATTTTCGAGTGTTTCGCTAACTAGAGAATCAATCTTTTTTTCATTCCATAATGTATACACAAAAAATTACTTTGGAATATTATTAATTTCTATTTTTAATTTTTTGCAAAATGTCAAAACATAAGAAATCAACTGAACGATTCCACAGAAATCATGCCATGCTATTTATTATAAAAAATACATGAAAATATAAATTATATCTATCCTATACTTTAATTAATATAAGTTGAACACGCGATTATTAAATTAAAATTGAATTTCTAAAAGTTATCGGAAAAGATGGTGTGCTAAATTTAAATTTTCGTTTAAGAGAAGTCAACTTAAATGAAAGAATACATAAAAATAAAAGAGAGAGGTATATTTAAGGAAATATATTTAAATAACGCATGTCTCAAAGAGCAAATGTGCATTAATATGGAATACATACTAATGCGAAATCCATGAGGAAGGGCAAATTAACATCCTGAAAGCTCTTATCATAGCTGACGGTTGAAGAAGGCTTATACGGAAAGCCGGTAATCCCTTATGCCTCGTTTGAGGGATAGATGTACGTTAACAGCATGTATATAATGCACTTATCTGAATAATACATTGGACTTAAGGACCAGTACATAAAGAACTATATTATAGATACGAGATATAGATAATCCTCGTATGACATGCAAGAATTGACGTCCGTAGAATTACTGCCATCTTCTGATCACAACTACCAGAGATTAAGTTAACGAAGGAAGTATTTGTTTCAATGGCATAAATCATGAAATATCCTGCATAATCAATCACATTTAATCTATTTATTTAAAAGTATAACCAGTTGCGCCTTTTATTTTTCTATACTAAGCGAAATTATCATCGTAAAGATAAGCGACATTAAAATATAAAGAAAAAACGATTGTGCAGAAGAGATTATTCTTGTTGATATTTCTGGAGAAGTGTCATGCTTTTTGCAGGAAAATTTGTAGAGATAAAGATAAAAAGAAAAAGATTGTCTAACTAGATATCATCAGAAATTAACATCGTCTTTGTGATCACAGAGATGTGTATAAAGCGATGATGACTTATCAGGCTAACACTCTTGTCTTACCGTCATCATCATTATGACTCAAATCTAGTCATCAAATGGAAACATTCACGCATTATTTCGAGTACGGTACAGTAGAAGTCCCTTTGTGCGCCTTGCCGCGCGGTAGCGCACTCGTGAAGACATGTTTTGCGTGCTAATGATTTTTACGTCGACGTTTATTAGCTGTACGCGTCTCGCGTATTTTACTGACTCGTGATAGCCGGCGCGTTGCGAATGCATTGTGGTATGGTTACTTGTTGCAAGATAAGACTAAACTATGCACGTAGAGATGAGATAGAAATTGTCGATAAATTTTTCTTTATGCACAAACGCACTTTAAAAGAAATTTTATTACTTTCAGAAAGATGCCCTAACTCATCACGTTTGAAGCTTGTAAAGTTCACTTTCCGTGAAACTTATGTATTGAATTATGAGGATTAAATTACACGCAATCATCGTTATATTATATGTCGCCGTACGAACGTAGTATCACAAAAGTGCTTATTAAATTTCGCGATGCGTTTGTTATCACGTATTCGATTTCATATTAATTCTTTTAAAATATGGATGATCATTTTTCTATAATAAAAGAACTGCCATAATTGCAGAATTTTTGGGAGAAATAGATTACAAAAATAAATTACCATAGTATAAAAGTTTTTCATGGAATTATTAAAAAGCAAACATTCAATATTCCAGTCGAAGAAGGAAAATTAAATATAATTATAGTTTTCATTGAAGTTCCATGATATGATTAAGAGACATTACAGTTTCTAAGGCGCGATCGTAATTGAATATACGCGTTTGAAACATACAAAGCTTGCTTGCGAAGGAAGAAGCTTTCCTCCGTTGGCATGGTACACTGTCGCGAAGTAATTGGAGTTTGTAATACCATTTTCGGATAGAAACGGTGAACATCATTCGCTAGTCGAGCCCCGCTGTAGAAACTTCGACAGACTAATCGATCGGACGATAAATCACGTTTGATTTAACGCAGGGCAACGATAAAGTAGGATGGAAACTGACGTACGGATTCGTAATCGTACAAAGGCCGAGGTTAAGGAAAGGTATAATAGAAGAGCGGGAAGGGAAAGCTGTAAGCGGAAAACTCGTAATTTATCCTGTTTCCAGTCTTGATGCCGGGCATTTCCGCGACGCGCTAGCGATTTCCAAGAGCTTCGCGGAAACGTGGCGACGCGAATGTCATTTCCCGACGTAAATTAAGTTTGAAATCCTGCTTATTTCAGCGTGGAGATCGATGAAAGCTGCTACTAGGTAGAGCTACAGTTTGAAAGAGGAAACCAGCCGTGATTCACATTCGATACAATCACTGTTAAATTCGCTCCGTTTAAAGTCGGCACGTATATGCACAATTCCCGAGAACGTAATTCTATTATACTCGTGGAATGCTCAAATTAAATGCAGACTGCAGTGTGATCAATTTGTGTATAATTTATCCTTAAAGGACGAATTTTACATCTGAAAGCCTACATATTCTAAAGAATCTGTCTAATATAAAAAACGCATCAGTAACTTTTCATCATAATTAGATCGTTATTAATAATACGTGTACAATAAATTATTATATTTTATAATAATTCATCTTTTAATTGTAGATTAATTGATAAAAAATTGATTAAAAATGTAAAATTTTCATTAATAATATTATTTGCCAGTATTATTGAAGACATTTAAAAAACAGATCTATGTACGTAATTAATTCTTCTTGTATCTATATTTGTGTCATTCAATATATAAAATTAATACAATTTTTACTACAAAAAAAAATATTATTTCTTAAGAAAATTTTTTCTAATTCTTTAAAAAATTCTTTAATTAAATATATGAAATAATCAAATGATAACTGACATTAAGAGTAAGAAACTTTATGTTGCAGGTATAGAAACGAAATTTGCTGGTTCGAGTTGTAATGATCTCGTAACTTCTGACGGAGCTGGCTCCACAATAATCAGTGGTCATTTTGATCAAAGGATCAGATTTTGGGACACTAGAGCCGAATCCAGCTCAAATGATATTCTATTGGAAGGAAAAGTTACATCTTTAGATTTATCCCGTGGTAAGTTCATTTATTTTAATTTAATAGTTTCATTAATTAAAAAGTTGATAAGTTGATAATATTATCAACAATCGAAAGATTTTTTTTATTTTGTATTACAAACGGAACTATCTCGTCGAAATTCTTGCAGCTTATTAAATTCCATAAATATATTTAATACGAATTTTAATCCAATGATTATCGTTTAATATCCTTACGATATCATAATTACAATACGTCTAATATAATATCAGAGAACAGAATTTTGATTTTATAATTTTGAAAATTATTAAATACAAATTAAATATTAATTATTAGTTAAAAAAAAAGAATATGAATCTTATTTTCAACAGAATTAATAATTATAATTTTCTCTTAATATTGCGAGACTTTATATATCTTGATTAAAAGAAAGAAATGTTCTAAGCACGATTATAAAAATATAACTTTTGTGGCTTTACATTCATGCTGAAAATAATACAAATGTAAATTCGGTATAGAAAGCTTCCGATCGTATCTTCAGTTCAACTACAAACAAGCAATTATGTATAAGCTTAAGCATTGAAACAAAACTATACTTCTTTGTTTAATAATTGAGCATAAACCAGATTAAACTAGAATGTCTTAAATATTTGGAGTGATATAAAATAATCCTATTACTTTAATAAGACGAAGAAAATGATATAAATTTTATATAGTATGCAAAACACGTACTTTTATTGATAATTATATACGGTGGGGAAAGATATTAATTGATATTTCACGACAACTATACGATATATTTCATTTATGGATTTTATTCGCGTTGCGCAAATAATGTTATTTCGTTTTCGCTTTTTATCGCAACGTTCTAATGACATGAATGAATTGGCTCGCGCGATTCTACAAAGCACTTGTATCAGCTGCAAATGCGCCCCGTTCGTACAAGAGTACTTCATTCAGATATATTATTCTATCGCATTTCATTAATCCGCCGATATTGCCGCCGGAACGCGAAATGAATTCAAGTGTTGTCAAGCGCTGTTGGTCCGATTTTTAACTTCTGCAGTTAAGCAGCTATATCACATCTCTCTGATACTTTTTTTATTGTTTGTCGTTACATATTCATTTAAAAGAGAGGTGAAACAATCTCAAATAGTCGATATGATGGATATGACACGGAAGGAAATTATAAACAAATCGTTTCGACGCAAAACGAATCTAAACAACTTTATCGCATCGTAATTAAATTTTTTAATGCTTAGAATTATTGCGTCATTCCATAAATGCGCTTTTACTGATGGTTTACGTGTTCGATACATAAGAGATATTTGTTCAGTTGATGTTGCAATGCCGCAAACATTCACGCACGAACAGTTTAAATATTATTCAATCTTATGCACGATTGTGAATTATAAAGAAATCTATTCGATTTCAGACGCAAATTACCTTTTGAGCTGCGTGAGGGATGACACGGTGAAACTGATTGATTTACGAATGAAGAAAATTGTTGGATCGTTCAGGTAGGTCGTGCATTTTTGTCATACATACATAAGTAGAATGTTGAAGGTAGTAAATCGTCGTATTTTAATTTTATTTTACAGCGCTGACGGTTTTAAAGTAGGATTCGATTGGACAAGAGCTGCTTTCAGTCCTGACGGACAGTATATAGCGGTTGGTTCCGCCGACGGTTCTGTTTTCATCTGGTCTATAGTAACGAATGCGATCGAAACAATACTGAAAGAGCACACGTAAGTAAAGTTCATATATTATCATAACTAAAATTTGAAAAATGTCAACGTAAAATCTCCTCTTTCTGTAAAAAAAAGTGATTGGTACGAAAACATAAATTAAAATAATTATACGTTGTTATTTTAATAAAATAATTAGATATTATTAATCGCGTATATATTCAATAATATAAATGGATCCATAGCACTTTAAAAGAAAATTATAAAGTAATTCTGTTTAGTTAATCGAACTCATCTATATACGATTTATATAATGCCCCAACTGCGAAATGTATCCTTTGAAATAGCTTTATTATTTTTATTCTTCTGATATTATATATTCTTGATCGGATATTTAGGTTTCTGCCCTACGGACAAAAAATAGTCCTTTCATATTGGAATGTGCAATACTGATATTAAAGCTTATGCCGTTATAAAATAAGGGGGAAAAAAAACTAATAAATTTTATAAAACTTTAATCGGCTATGTTTGCCAATGATAAGAAGACATATTAAAACGAGAAATTTTGTTCCCGATATTTTATCGAATATTGATTTAGAGCTAATCCGAGATATTGAAGGCAGCTTGCTGCGCCAATCCTTCATAAAGCCCGTCGTCTTATCTTAATAATACTTAATATAGCTTTTTTTACAGTTTTCTTATTTTGTAATTTAACATATTATTTTATGCAGGGTTGGCAACGTTACCTCATAAAAATAACTCGTTACTGTTACCGTTGTTTTTCCTAAAAAATAACTCGTTCTCGTTATTCGTTATTGATTTGCAAAAATAACTCGTTACACTGCACAGTCTACGTACTATACGTTAGCCTATAGTTGCGTTCCGTTTCACGCATAGTGCGTACGATACATCATTTTATCCTTATTGTTCATATGAATATTAAAGAAAGATAAAATGATACATCATGCGCGTAATGCGTTAAACCGAACGCAGCCTATACGTCTGAACTGTGAATACAATGTGAAAAAAGGCGTCGTGATTATGTGATTAAGAGAGCCAATCAGACCTATTCCTTTAACGTCGCATCTCTGTTTTCTATAGCTCTTACGACTAAAACTTTTAGAAATAAAGTAACGATAAAAGTAACTAGTGAAATCATTACCATTACTCCAAAAATGTAGCTGCATTACCATGATCGTTACTCCGAAGAAAATGTAATGTTGTTATCCATTCGTTACCGAAAAAAGTAACTTATAACGGTAACGACGTTACAAATAACGCGTTACCTGCCAACGATCTGAAGATATTGGAATGTACAAAATTGACGTTTACATTTCCAATTGTTTTTATTAAATTTATCGTCAGCATGTGTGATCCAGAGATTATTTTCTAGTGCTGTGCTTGCGACATTTCTCCCTCGATTTTATTTGCGGTTACAAAATCGATAGCGTGAACTCGCTATTGTCTTTCTATTTCGACATATGACGTACCATCATAATTTATTTCTCTTTGCTTCTCTTTTATCAGACTACGTGTCTTTCTATTTCGACATATGACGTACCATCATAATTTATTTCTCTTTGCTTCTCTTTTATCAGGCTACGTTTTTTTGATGAATGCGAATTTCTCGTTAAATTCACTGAGGTACTAAAGCATTCGTAATTTTTAGAGGCACCTTCGAGTGCTCGGCATATCCGCCTGACACGAAAAGTTTCTGAAGTACTTCGGTCCATCACACGCAGCGTTTATACATTTACATACGTGTATGCACATGCACATGTGTACATATACGTGAAGAAAAAGATTCGCAACGGGAATTCCCACACACACACAGAAGGGGATCTAAGAAAATATTTCGACGTGATCCGATTTTTATTCCAACTTTTACGCTATATATTCACATACACATAACCGCCTGTGTCTATATATTGCCAGATAACTTCACGATATCGGGAATTTATCAGGGCATTTTGAGTGCTCGAAAGTCTTACCAAAGTCTACATCAACTCTTATCATTGATTATGTCACTTCGAGTGATCTGAGGTTTGTCCACCGGCTCTCAGAGTACGGAAAGCGAAAACGCGAAAAATCCGTGGAAAGAGACAGAAGCGCGATGCAGCGAGAAAGTGGCATAGACAGCAACATATCTCGTCCGCGTGCTTTCAGCGCCCTTTCACCTATACGAGTCACGTTGATGGACGCGTTAATCGGCGGTATCTCACGGGGAATGCAGTATAAGGATCGCTCCTACTACCGAGGTGCAGAAAATCGATGTGTTTTAAACACTAAAAACGTCAATTATGTTATTACGGCCGTAGGGACGGTTAAACATGACATTACCTGTAAATCAATAGCAAGCGCGGTTAACAATTTCCGGGTATCCCCCGTAACAATAACTTCGCAATATCTAACAACTCATAAATTGACGAACAATTGAAATACCAGCTCTACCTGCGAAAGAAGCTTCAACAAGATTAATGTAACATAAATTTAAGTTAAAATGTTTCTTCTAATCCTGTTATACTATAAATACAGTCACGGAACTAATTATCCGCCATTACATTGATGATTTCTCCTGATTGTTGTCCGTTAAAAATTGTATTTTTACGCAGGCATTACAGTGCCGCGCACTGATAGTTTATATTTATATTTGAATAACTGATTGTGTCGTAATGCGTATGTGGAGCACGTAAACTTTTTAACGGAAAAGCGTTTGAAAATAATCATCGATGTTAGTTTCGTATAACTGCACATGCATTTTATGATTACGTTTGCGTCTATAATTTATATTAATTCAAAATGAAAAAAAGTATTAGATAATTGAAACAAATGTCGTTATTTCTCGACGTGAAATAAGTTCTACATGGTTGTTAAATGCCGATAACGTTTAATCATTCTCGATTGAAACATGTCGTGTCTCGTACCAATCAAACTATCACGTTCGTAGTAGCAACAATTAGTAATTACGCGCGTGTTGAAGCATTTACTAACGTAGGTAATTGGTTTAATAGTTCATTATTGCACCAGTAACATCATACACCAACATTAATATTGTCATATTTAGATGAGTAATAATAGTTTATTAAACATCTCTATTAGAAAAGTATTTTCTTTTACAACTTGTAAATTTATCGAGTGTTAAATGTAATATATTACGAGTAATAATCTGTAGATCCATCGAACTTTAGTGTGATTTTTTTCACTATAAAGCAAAAATGCTCATTCTATAAGAATACACAGTAAAAAGCATTTTATATCTGTATTAGAAACGGTCCATTTAAGTCCTTGTTAAAATTCTATTCGAGTTTTTAATACCTATTCGAGTATTAATTGAATTTAATTAAAAATAGTGTGATTATATGTTATTTAAATATTATGCCAAATTGATATTTAACATTTCTCAGTGTCAAAATAATACAATTTATGAATAAGTAAACAAATGACATAAAAATATTTTAAAACATACATCTAAATTAGATCAATGAATAAAATACGTGTTCATTTAACATATCATAAACGTTAATTTTACTAGCAAAAATATGCTATCACAGTTTGTTACAAATTGTATCAGTATTGCGTTTTATGTGTTCATTTTTTCACATAATATTTGTGTTACTTTCTAACACATCCATCTTGTGTTAAATTAATACAAAGATGAGTAGACCGACTGGGACACATAAAATGTGTTAAATCTAACACAAATTTTCCAATTGTGCATTCATGCCTCTTTATTTTTCAAGACAGTGGAAAGTAAGAGGTACTTGTTGAGAAGAAAGTAGCCCGTTGCGCTTTTGGCCCCGTTTCCATCCATACATGAGGCACAACGACTTGAACGATCGACCAAGTCTCGCTTAGGCGAAGGATAGATCGTAAGATCCGTTCTACGATTATCGTCTTTCCCTTCTTTTCCTGCTCAGGAACGCGCGCTCCTCTCTGTCGTGGCGACCGACCATGCCGTCCTCGGCCTCCTCGAGTTTCTCAAGGACGCCGGATCTTTGGCGGTGGCTTCTTCTCTGGGAAAGCCCAGCGGGCGGCTCGAGTCCAGCGTGCACCTAAGTACCGGTCGTATCGAAAAATGGCTTAAGCACCAGTCATGTACAAGTCGCCCGGTGCTGGTGTGCGCGGTTTCTCGCGTATATACGCGCGTGTTTCACTGTTATTACTTTCACCCTGGCTTGGACGTAGACAGCGTTCATCCGTGGTCATCGTCATCTTTCGTCGTCGTTGTTGTCTCCCGTCTCCTCCGACCTCTTCGTCTTCATTCTTCTAGTCGGTGGTCATCGTCGTCCGGTTGTCTTCGTTTTCGCCTTCGTCTTCGTGGCGATCATCGTTCGTGGTCGCTGCGGTGCGCTACATCGCACGAAGGTAGATCGTATAATTCGTACGTTGCGCTCACTCAGGAATCTCCGAGAGACTAACTTAATAAGCGTCTCGCCCTTTCACCCTCTTTTCTCCATTCGTGTCCTCTTATGGCACTGCGTAAGAAGCTGTACGATTCCGTAGGTATTTAATGCACGTGCTGTCTGTGTGCACGCATTTGCGCGATGCGAGTATAAGCGCTGCCTGTCGCGGTGCGAGCTATGAAATTTAGATGTTATGCGAAACGCGCGAGTATGCGAATTAAGGTAATAGTCGCGGAAGCTGACTAGCTTCTACGATATCATCTGTACCAGTAAATCCGTGGTAAACATTACGACGGATTTTACGAACACTATTTTCACAAGGAAGAAGTTATACGCTCTTTTTGTAAAGAAAATATTATACGTATAAAGTAGTAAATATAAAGAAAATATTATTGTACACGAATTTTTCTAAATCTCCATTTATCAATAGAAAGGAAATTTAATTCTCTTATATCGCTTTCTTTTTTATTTTAAACTCATCTCGAGAGTGTAGTGTATCAAATATGATCATATTTGATACACTAACTAACGTTATTTAATGACATCTTTATGCGATATACATAAGCTCTTATTAAAAATACGGTTTTTATGCATTCTCTAATAAACGCACGTAAACCGCTGTTGCTGTTCGTTCCGTACCAATCGAGGAGCTATTCG